GAAGCAGGCCTCCCGCGGAGCAGGGAGCCCGATGTGGGGCTCGATCCCAGGACCCTGGGATCATGACCTGAGCCAAAGGCAGACGCTCAATGATTGATCCACCCAGGCGCCCCTGAACAGTTGTATTTTCATTTTCATTGGTTTCCATGAATTTTTTAAATTCTTCTTTAATTTCCTGGTTGACCCATTCATTCTTTAGTAGGATGCTCTTTAGCCTCATGTATTAATAGTTCTTTCTGACTTTCGTCTTGTGATTGAGTTCTAGTTTCAAAGCATTGTGGTCTGAAAATCGGCAGGGAATGATCCCAGTCTTTTAGTACCGGTTGAGACCTGATTTATGACCCAGGATGTGATTGATTCTGGAGAATGTTCCATGGGCACTAGAGAAGAACGTGTATTCCGTTGCTTTGGGATGGAATGTTCTGAATATGAAAACTGACTATCCTTCAACATAAGATTCTCAAAATTGTTTACCATAGTAGATTGTTTTCTAACAGCTTTATTGAGATTTAACTCATGTACCATGAAATATCCATCATTTTAAAGTTTATACTTCAGTGGTTTTTTTCACAGAATTGTACAATCATCAACACAATCAATTTTGGAGTATTTCCTCACCCAGGAAAGAAACATAGTACCCTTTATTAACCTCCCTTCATTTCTCCCCAATCTGTAGATTTTCCTGTTCTGTACATTTCATGTTAATGGAATCATACAATATGTGGTACTTTAGTGTTTGGTTCTTTTAAGTTAGCATGTAGCAATGCTTTATTTTTATTGTGGTAAAAAATACATAAATTTACCTTCTGAACAAGTTTATACAGCATTACTGTATACACATTGTTGTACAATAGATCTCTAGAACTTTTTCATCTTGCGTGTCTGAAACTGTACTCAACTGAACAACAATTCGGTTTCCTTTTCCCCCATGCCCTGGCAACCACCATTCTCCTTCTGTTTTTATGAGTTGGATTACTTTAGATATCTCATGTAAATGGAATCATGTACTGTCTTTTTGAGATTGGATTATTTCACTTAGCATAATGTCCTCAAATTTCATCCATGTTTTACCATATGACACAATTTGTCTTTCTTGAAGCTGAATAATAGTCCATTGTATGTACATACCATATTTTTTTAATTCATTTATCAGCAGATATTTAGGATTGGACATTTAAGTTGCTTCTCTCTTGGCTATTGTGAATAAGACTGCTTTGAACATGGGTGTGCAAATAACCTCTTTGAGGTCACATTTTCAGTTCTTTTAGACTGTATGCCAGAAATTGGAATGGATCATATAATTCTATTTTTAGTATTTTGAGGAAATTCCAAACTGTTTTCCATAGTGGCTACACCATTTTATAATCCTACCAACAGTGCGCTTAGTGTTTCAATTTCCTTACATCCTCACCAGCACTTGTTATTTATTTTTTTATAGTGGCCATCCTAACAGGTGTAAGGTGATCGCTCATTATGGTTTTGATTTGCATTTCCCTAATGATTAGTGATGTTGAGGATCTTTTCATATGCTTGTTGGCCATTTGTATATCTTCTTTGAAAAAAATGTCTCTCCAGGTCCTTTGACCATTTTTGAATTGGGTTGTTTTGTTACCGAGTTGTAGGATTTCTTTGTTTCTTTCTTTCTGCCTGCCTGCCTTTCTTTTTTTCTTCTTCTTTATTCCCCCTTATTTGATACATGGTTTGCAGACATTTTCTTTCATTTTGTAGGTTGTCTTTTCACTATGTTAATTGTTTCCTTTGCTATGCAGAAGATTTTAAGTTTGATGCAGTCCAATTCGTCTATTTTTGCTTTTGTTATCTGTGCTTTTGGTATCCTATCAAATAAATCATTGCTCATTCCAGTCATGAATCAAATCTTTTCCCTTGTTTTCTTCTGGAGTGTTATAGTTGCAGATCTTAGATTTAGGTTTTTGATCCATTTTGAGTTAATATCTGTAAATGGTGTAAGATAAGGGTCCATCTTTCTTTTTTTTTTTAATTTATTTATTTGAGACAGAGAGAATGAGAGAGACAGAGAGCACATGAGAGGGGGGAGGGTCAGAGGGAGAAGCAG